CTTTCTGTCCGATAGGAAGGATTCCACCAATGGCTCCCATTCCCTCCCCAGCCTACGTCCCGCGGATCTGACTATGCCCTCCCAATTGCAATTGTCGAATGCTCCCTTAATGTCCTCAAATAGGAGGACAGTGAAGCTTCGCGGCCGTTCCTCCACCCATCTCTTCACCTCGGAGATCGCAGTCACGCATGACCGCGACCGTACGAAGCCGTGGAGTTCTCCCGGGAAAGGCTTATCTACCCACTGGGCCACTATGGGCTTCTCTAGGATTTTCCCCCCGGTCCTCAGGAGAGTTATCGGGCGCACTCGCTTGAGGCGGTTGTCCCCATCGGGGAACTGTCTTCCCGCCTTGGGTATGGCCACCAATAGGCCTGATTTCCAGCACTTGGGGAAAACTCCCAGACTCAGCGCCGCCCTCAGGATGATGCTTAGCTCAGCGAGGAAGGTCGGGACCTCCACGGCCGAGCGGTAATGCTCATACGCGACCTCATCGTCACCACTCGCTTTGCCCCGTGGTAGTGCCTTCACTAAGGCTTTGACGTCCTCCGGGTTAAGGCCGATCTCTTGTGGGGGTGGTGCCAATCCGTTCGCTCTTATTTGGACACTGATCTCAGAACTGCCAACTGAAGTGTTCAATGACCTCTGAGGGGTCTAGCCATTCCCTGGGTGAACATCCTTTCTCCCACTTCTTCGCCTGGGTCTCGTCCATGTCCTCGATCACTTTCCGAGCCACCTCCCTTTTGCGCCGCTTAATGCAGCCGAGATACTCTCTTCGAGCCGATACCTCCTGCAAGTGCAGGTCCGGCCTATCTGGGCAGGCCTTGGAGCGCCCTCGAGCCCTCTGATAGCACCGTCTGAGTTTCTCCAGTTCCGAGGTCCACCATGGTTTCCCTCCGCTTCGGCGCGGTGGTGGTTTCCTCGTGGACAGCTTCACCGCCTGGGTTTAACCCAGTGGGTTATCCTCCTCTGCAGAGTGGCCGCTCGCTGCTCCAGTTCCCGCACGTCCATAATTTCGTCGCCAGCTCCTTGGCCCCTGATGTGTTCTTGGAATCTCGTCCAGTCCGTTTTCTTCGGGTGTCTGCTGCCTCTGTGTACCGTCTCTTCGGATGGAGCCTGCTCCTTGTGAATGCTAAAGCCCAGGGCCTCGTGGTCACTGGGTATCGTGAGGCCCAACACGTCAGCCCCCACGGAACACTGAGCTAACACACCGCTACCCACGAAGACCGCATCGATGGCCGATTGCCACCTGTTGTTGCGAAACGTGGGCCTCCCGTGGTTCGCATTTATGCATACCATAGCTTCGTCAACCGCCCATCTGAGGATCTCCTCCCCACGCCTAAGCCCGTCCGGCACCGACCTGCATTGGGAGGTTGTGTCCGAGCGCCAGACGGCCGACAAGGCATTAAGATCGCCTCCGACGATTTTCCAGCTTACCCCCCTGACCTTGTTGAGGACTACATCAACCGACTTTTCTCGGTCCAAGTAGATAGAGGTCACCCCAAGCCACTGGGTCCAACCCGGGAGCTTCACCTGTATCTCGGTGTGGTCTTCGTCGCCGCCAATGAAGCGGTGCTGGACGTCGCTTCTAACCAGTGCCCCGGCCCGGCTTCTGCCTGGGCCAGGTGAGGTCATCAACCTGAAGTGATCCACCACCGACGGGGGGCGGACGGGGGGTTCCTGCACCGGAGCTACTGTAATTCCCGCCGCCGCTAATTCCCTTGCCGCCACTGATAAAGCTCCCGGAGACCTCATCAGATTCACCGAGGCAAAGGCCCACTCTACACTGGGCCGGACCGCCCCCGTGATCGGCCTTCCCACTTCGGACGCTGTCATTTCGGCGTTATTCATTCTGATGCCTCCTTACTCCCCTATTCGCTGCATTTCCATTCAGTGCAACGTTAAAGATCCCGCCAGCGGGACTCGTGCCATTGAGTGCATCGCACTTTCTGTACTCAACGGAGCCATGCCCAGATTTGGAGCAGTGAGCGCACTTCCGCGTCTTGTCCGTTATAGGGCGCTCGCATTCCCTCATCTGGTGCCCTTCTTCTCCGCACCAAGCACACCTAACTGGCCCCGTGCACGGTTCCCCGTTCTTGTGCCTCCTGGCACAGGTGAAGCATACCCTGGAGAAAGCATGGGGTCTAACCCGCACTCTGGAGAATCCTATGAAAACAGGTATCCTGTTGTTACCTTTATCCAGTAGCACCTTCGCCGCCTCCGGGTCCATGCGCAGCATAGCTGCGCAGCCCCCTTTCTCCCCCCTCCTCTTGCTTATTTTGACAACCTCGTATGGCGCCTTGATGCCATTGCGTTGAGCCAGCTCCCTCCTTAGCGTCTCCTCCTCGGTAACCTCCTCCGGGATGCCTTCGATGATGATCTCAGTGCGCTTGCCCGGCAGCTCCCTCGCGATCGTTCCGTTGGGTGGGTCAGCCAAGATTGCATCGTAGGTTCTTTGATCCGCGACTTCCAGGGCCAGCCCATACTTCACCGTCCAAGCCCCGATAACCTTCAGGGTGTCGTTAGCGAGCACCGCATTGTTGAGCTTCATACGACATTCTTTGATGTCGTCGTCAGTGAGCTCAGGCCACACTCTGTCGACCCCATCTCCACTGAGCTTGGTGGCCAAGGTGATAACGAGGTGCCGTCTGGCCTTTGGAATTCCCTTGAGGGCTTCCTCAGGCGGGGGTCTGGGTTTACGTCTCACCACTTGCACCCATTCTCCGTCTCCGTTGTCCGGCGCCGGGCGCGAACCTCCTCTTGCAGCCGCCCTGGGGGGCCTGGGCCTCGGCGGGCCGGCTGGCGGGGCACGTGCTCCAGCCCCAGGACGATGTTCCTCTATCCTAGGCGGCCCCTCGTTCTGGCTACCCTCCTGTGTGCCGGGGTCCAGATCAAAGCCCTCCATATCGTTATCACCAGCGGGGTTGTCCGGCCTAGTTGCCGGACGCCTGACGCGCTTGCGTTTGCGCTCCACTCTCTCACCCTCACTGCGCAGTAGTAGTAGTAGTAGTAGTCGTCGTTGTTGTAGTAGTCGTTGTTGTTGTTGTAGTAGTAGTCGTTGTTGTAGTAGTCGTTGTTGTAGTAGTCGTTGTTGTTGTAGTAGTCGTTGTTGTAGTAGTCGTTGTTGTAGTAGTCGTTGTTGTAGATTACATCATGATAGCACCAGCCATAAGCTTCATAGCCAAACTAACTTACCGGATTGATAGCCAGCCATACTATTTTTAAAAACTTAACGAGACGCCTCATCCTCCCACGTTCAGTGAAGAAGTACGCCAACGAGGAACCATGCGGCCTAACCAAAAGAGTGGCCCTTGGTAAAGAAAACTCAGGGCAATCAAGGACCAGATGAGTCCAAGTTCCCTTTGAAACTCCACAGAACCTGCACAAATCTGTATGACAGCGACCAAACTTGAAGAAGTGAGAACGACATCTAGTGCCACTCACAGCCCAGAAAATCAGGTTACGCTCAAAACCAGAAAAACGAGTCCAAGTCCTGATGTGAGACATCGAGAACACGAACTGCCGAGTCCTAGGCGAGAGCTTCAAAAGAGCAGACTTGAAGCGCAGCTCCAGCCTCTGGGAAATGAAGTCATCTATCATCATTCTAGTGAACGACCATGGGGCAAGCTCATAGTCGCATCGCCCAACTCCTTCAGAGCCAAGGTTGGTGAGAGAATCTGAGACCTCATTTCCACAGTGATCAGAGCGGCCAC